GAGGTGCAAGCTGCCTGCGGCCTCGGCTGCCTGCTCCCGAGCAGACTGGCCCCAGGTTTGCTCAGGGCCCTGAGGAGATAGCAGGAGACCTCCAGCTGGAGCCAGGGGTGGGAGCCACCCTGCAGCCCCCAACAGCTCCGTGCAAACCCCCCGGGGACGATGGCCCGGCTGGAGAGCCAGCCCTGCGCTCCCCGAGCAGGGAGCACGCCGAGCAAGCGGCCAAGTGAGCCAACACCAAAACACCGGCACGGGTCTCACTGCTCTCACCCCTCCTGCAAACCGCCGGCAGCACATCCAGCCCTGGCTGTGCGAGACCCACCATCTCCAGCCAGCGGGATCAGGGCCCAAAGCCTCCGGGCTGCAGCAGCCGGCTCCAAACAGGGCCCTCCGCGACGCAGCCGAATCGCCCTTCTTTAATTGCTTTCCCCCTCCCACCCGTCCTCGCAGCTGAGATGCAACTCGATTGCGCTCTTAATTAGGGGAGCGAGCGCCTAAAAAAGAAAAGGGCAGCAATTAGACTCGAAGCACTGTTACTAGACGCATTTAACTCGACTGGGCTATTCTGAACGCTGCCCTCTAATCACACAGGCTGCAAATAAAAAAATATAAATAAATGTCTTTGTCAGGCATTACAAAGGCAGCTTTGCACTCTCCAGACAGCAGGCAGGATGTATCATTATTATTACGATTATTCTGCTCCAATGATAAAATAACCATTAGGAGAGCTGAACTCATTAGCAGGTTCTGACCCTCCTTCCTCTCCATGAATTGGGAGAGATTAATGGGAAGGTGCTGGCCAGGGGCTGGCATTTAACACAGGCTCTAAAAAGGAAAATAAATCTGACTTGCACAGGAATGCGGCCTCTTCTCCCACTGACCTTTGCGCATTTTGATTAATTCAGTGGGCCACAAAATTATTAGAGGCCAGCATAACCAGCAGATGCGTCTCCAGGCTTAGCCGTGGGATACGGCGAGCGTGCCTGCAGCCCGCGGGCAGCGTGGCGTCCTGGCACAGCGCCGCTACCGCCCTTGTTGGTGGAGTCGGCAGAAATTGTTTATTGCTGACATTTCCCACCAGCGCCCAGGGTGACGGGGAGGCTGGAGTAGCTTCTATTTATACCTGCGGGATGAAAGGCAAAAGGCGGTGATAAATCCGTGCTCTGCTCCCTTACCTAGCCCCTGTCCTTGCAGCCTACGTGCCCTCATCTGGCCCACGCAGGGTGGCAGATCCACACCCTTGGCCTGGGACACCCCAGGGAGAAGAGTTTCTCAGCCCAAAAGATGCTCAGGATACGGAAAAGGCACCAGCGCTTGTAGCACGGGCCCATGAGCTTCGGCACATGCTGTCGAGGAGGGAACTGATGATTGAGTGGGCTCCTGACTTTCCAAAGTCAGGGAAGCTTTTGGATCGCGACTGCCATTAGAAAGCCCAGCAAGGCTCTACGCTGGGAGAAATTGAGGTGTGCACAAAAACCCCCACTATAGAACTAATTAAAAAGAGGTCCAAAAAGCCTTAAGTCCCTCTGCTTATCAGCATTGCTGCTCCCAAGATAATCTGCTCATGGATTTTGTGCCAGGGAGATCAGAGTGGAGCAGTAAAAAGACTGCTGGGGATTGTCTGGATTAGCTCTCCCTTACAGAAAGCACAGGTTCAGTAACCTTCAGACTGGGTATTTTTTAATGCACTATAAAAGATAGGTCCCTATTCTTCCATTGCTTTAATTTTCCTCTGCAATGGAGATAATTTTAAAGGTCCTGAAAGGCAGCGAGTAATTCTGTGCACTTACAGCCCCATGTAAAATGTCGGTAAATGACTCCTCAGGAGGAACAGAAATTATTTCTCGCCATTTCCAAGCAGGGCTGCTGAAGATTGCTCTGGCGGGCGGCCGCATGTGCTGCTGCTGCTGCCTCCCCGGCTGCAGCGGTGCCTTGTC